TATAGATTTTACAGTCCAAGCATGTGCCACATCCTCCCTTGATGTTTACTCTGCAAGCTCCAAATACACGTAGTTGGTTGTGGTGCGGTTTGTTTTTTTTTTTTTTCCCTGTTCATCATGAGTTTTCCTGTATGCAATTATATCTGATTGTTGTGACAAACTCCAGTGCTCAGGATGACATAATTCTCTCTTTTGGAGCTTGGCACTCCTGGAGAGGCTGCAGGCGTTGGCCTGTCACCCTCCCGTCTTCCCTCAGCCATGTGAGGGACACTTAACTCTTCATCTGTATTTTCTGGTTGATTACGTTTCTGTTGCAGTTCTCTGAACTCCTTCTGACTTGCTTGTATTCGCAGATCTGCACAGATACTCTGGGGGCATGGAGTATTTTTGTTGGATGTTCCTTTCACAGGATAAAAGACCTCGACTTTCTACCACTGCTCCATGTCCCATTGTATTGTGCTTTCTGTGGGCTTTTACACAGTGCCCATTACTATGGTATATATAGTTTTTGGTTTATGTGTATCTATCTGTTTATCTATATAAAAATAATGTGATCAGCATGGCTATCATGTAAGTCTCTTATTTGGGGTGGGGGAGTTTTATTTTTATAATGAATACTTTTATTTGTGAAAGCTAAGCTGAAGAACCTCACCTAGTATACGCATATTTAACTTGCCATCTATTGTAACATCTGTTATTTTCAACATTGCTGCTTCCCAGATTTCACCCTCCCACTGCATGGGGTTTTTTTGGATCCTTTCCCTTCACTTGTCTTAGCCTGCTTTTTTTTTTCCCAGAATGAATCTCATTTGATTATTTTCAGACTGCATTTTTATTCTCTCTAAGTCCCTGTGCATTATTTCCTTGTCCCCGTTATTTTTGCAGCTCCTCCAAACGCGATATTTCATGGAGATTTAAGTTAACATGCTGTCTTGAGTCTCTTCTGGATCGTTAAAAAAAATACAAAGTGAATCAACCTAACGCAGGTCTTCTCAATATTGCACCTTCTTCTAATGCTACCCTTTGCTTTTGTCATGATTTATTTGCAGCCAGTTTTCAAATCCAGCCACAGCATTCATCTTAAAGTGCAAATCACTATCAAATGTTTACTAAAAATCAAACACATCACATCTGCTCCTTTCCCACCAACTCCTACTGCTGTAACGCTTGCCAGAAAGGGGGCCAATTTCTAGCCAGTTCTGCTTTTCTGAATAGAAATCACGGTTTCATTGTCCTCAGGCTTGTAGCCTGGTTTACTTTATAGGAAGCCTCATGAATTAAAACAGCTGTGCAGCCTGTTCTGAAAGTTGGTTTTGTGGAGAGACATTGCTGGGAAGAAAACAAGTGGAGTCCATGCGTGTGAGGGGGAGAAAGAAGAGGCATACATGTGTGTGGGGAGCAGTCACTGTACTCTGCCTCTGCAATTAACTGATGGCAAGTAGTGTATTTCTGAAGAACTAGTTGAATTCCTGAATGTTCCTGTGTTCCTAGACCATGGCTTCCCATATAATTTTTTGTGTTTTGTGCTGCCCTGCTTTGCTTTCTTGTGGCCTGCAGTGCAGTTGATATTTGGAGCTATGGACAAACTGAAGGCATGAGATGTGGGCATCAGCAGTCACCTCCTAGTGGGGCACCTTGTAAAATTTCTCCAATTTAGCTGTTGGCTGGGTGCCCATGACACAGAAAACCTGTAACACTTCAGGGGTAAGTGGTAAAAGTACCTTTCTCACTCTCGAGTACAACAGGTGAATGGCTGTTTTGGATAAGAAAACAAGGAATTGAGGCAGACATGAGGACATGAAAGGGAACTGTAGGATAAAAAGTGAGAGCATGCTTTTGGCCAAGAACTCTTTCAGTGGGGAATGTGAGTTATAGTCCCTGGAGATCATGCAGAAGGCATCCCATTCATGGCTTTTTGCTTTGACCTGGCCATAATAAAATCTCGAAAGTTTGTGGTGACAGTAATGCCTGCCTTGCGCTGGTTAGAGCAATATTTTATACCAGTGATTTAAAAGGATTGTTAGTACCCCTTTTCAGCTGGGGCAAGCGGCTGGGAGCAGGCAGAAATAAATTTAATCTATTTTTCTAAAGAGGCTCTGCCTTTATTATTGGGTTGCGTACCATCTCCTCTTGCTCTTGCCTGCGTCCACTCTTGCCCCCTGGCTTTTGCTACCTGCTCACAGCCCAGCGTGTACCACCGCCCGTGGTGGGGAGGATGGTGTGTGGCAGGGTTTCAGCCTGGGTATCGATCATCTGGAGCGTCGGGTCCTTGGTGGAGAGTGGGATGTGGCTAGGGAAAAGCTCAGGCTGTGCTTTGGGCTGGTGGAGAAGTATGAGTTGGCCTGCAGCTGAAAAGCGTTGTCAGTCCAGGTCTTGGGGAAGAGGGCTGGGGGCGTGGTTTGGTTTTCTTGGATTTTTTTTTTGCTAGAAGTGTGGCTTGAGAAATTAAAACAAATATTGCTATTGAGGCTTGTGATCTAAGCTTTTAAAATTACTCCTAGTATATTCAGTACAGTCTGTACGAGACATCGGAGGATTTGAATTTAGCAAAAGGCTATGAAGAGATGTTAGAAGCTATTGTTTGTAATAACCTTACAAATTTTCATATATTGTACTGACAGTGTGTACCTTCACCATTGTGGCATGTACAGACCTAGATACACTTCAGAAATGCCTTCATCGTTTTCATGCTCTGTGCTGTGTTTTCCACCTGGAAGATTCCTTTTTCTTTGATGGCTGCCCTAAAGCAATAGGGCTGAAAGGGCTGTAGCCACCTTGAGGTTTGCAGACCCAGGCTTTTTACCTGTGGTTAGTGGGGGACATAGGACTGTGGTCTCTCTGCTTCCTCTTTCTCCCACCCCGCCCAAGTACAGTCCTAAACTAAACAGTCAAGACCTAAAGACCAAGTCCAGACCTAACCCGTGCCACCTCACAGTCTGTGCAGCTTTGTTCTCTTTGCTCAAACAGCACAGTACATAGATTTTGACCAAGTCAGAAACCATTGAGGAATGTCTGAGGTACTCAGGGCCACCTGGCACCAGAGGTGTCTGCTGGTGTGCCCCTTCATCACAGCAGTGCAGGTGGACCAAGAAGTGGCTGAATCCTCCTGGCTCTGCAGCCCTCGAGAGTGGGACTGGCAGGGGTCCCCCACCTCCCTCCTCTGCCCACTTTGCTCAGCATGGTCGGTTCAGTCTCTGCCGAATGCTGCTACAACCAAATGATTTGTTTTTGCTTTGCTTCATTATTTACTGCGATGATCAAAGGAACCACTCCTTGTGATCATAAAGAGAAGCCTTAAAATCTTATTTAAGAGCACAGATATTTGAGGCTTTGACAGATGTGCTTTGAAAATAACACAGACGTAGAGTGTCAGGTTTCACCTCTGCAGCAGTGTCTTTGTTTCAAACTGTAAATTTGGCTAGTAGTGCTGGGCATGTGCTTTCCCAAAACCTTGCTGCTGCAACACAGGAAAAACAAGTTTCTGGGTTATGGTTGGTTTTTTTTTTTTTTTTTTCCCTCCTCCTGAGTTTACCCCCTTAGAGAGTTGGAAAGGAAAATGATCCTAGCAGAGTGAGCACTCAGCTGCAAATCTATGGGTTATTTTTAGCCTAATTACCTTGGATTAAACAAAAGCTTGAGAATATTTTGCTTGAATCGAAGGCAAGGCCAGGTAGGCTTTATTTGCAGAGAAAATGCAGCTGAAGACACGCTTCTTCCATTGCTCTGTGCAGAGTAACGCCCGTGGCACTGCACTGAGCGAACAAACGGTGTGTGATTTTCTGAGGCACTGGCTTTTATGAGTTGATACGAGAGGATATGCAGCTCTAGAGCAGTTTGCTCCTTTCCCATTCTCACCCCTGCTACAGTTGTGGTGATCGCTTTGGACTGGTGACATTTTAGATGGAGCATGGTCTCCTTACACTTGCCTGGCAGAGGCTCATTAACTGCATGTTAATTGAAACTGAAAGTTTGTCAGATGATTCAATTCAGTTACATGTTAAATGGATTCAGTGCAGTAAGCATTGCTGCTGTGCTGAAAATCTCTGTGGAATTGATTTGTGAACTGATTTGGAGGGATTCAACGGCTTCATCAGCGGCTCTGGGAGATCGGCAGTGAGAGAGCTGTGCTCCTAGCAAAACAAATCCTACTCTTCTCTTCCACCCTAAACAGCTTTAATTACTGGCCAGTATGTTCCCTTTCCAGGACATGTATTAGGTAGATAAATTTACTCTGGAGAGCTGAGAAGTGAAGAAGAAAATGAGAAGAATAGAAAGTCTGGTTTGAATTCTGTAATCTAAATGGCTGAAAATGTTAAATTCCTTATCTCTCGGTGGATTGAGTGCTCGTAATGTTTTCCTGAATTTTGAATCAAACTTAAATGTGTTTTAAAATAAGTTGTATCTGCTTTAAACTAATAGGCGTGAAATTCAAAATTTACATCCTCTGTAACTCATCTTTTATACTTGGCCACTGCAAAAATCTCTCTTAAGCAAGCAATTTATTCTGTATGCTGTACTTGCTTATGTGCTTCACTTCTGTGTGGAGCCAATTTTTATTGCTTAGTTACCAAACCCTTTCAAAATAGGGACTTGTAATGGAAGCGCTGACAGACCTTTAACTAGGTCAGTCTTATCTGGCTCCATTATCTTTGTTTTTGTTAAAAGCATTAAATGGTTGCATATTTGTTTATTTTTCTCACAGTCCCAGAATTTTAACGTGGGTATATTATTGAATTGTTCTTTCTTCAAAATGTCATGAACATGCAGCATTAGAGAGTTTATCCAGCCTTTGCAGTCATCTTTAAAAGTAAATTGAACTGTTGTGTCTTATTTCAAGATATTCTTGCTTATACAGTACATTTAGTCTGTAGCATGTCATTATGATACTAATACCAAAGTTTTTTCTCCTGCTGTCTTATTCTAATCTTGGATTCTGCTCTGTCTTTTGAGCTCCTTTCTGCAAAAATGACAGTGATATTTTTTTTCTTTGTCCCATTCAGATGAAAAGCCATACCACTGCAGCTTTGCTGAACAGGAAACCCCGATGGTAACGTCTCACTTGGATGAACTCACAAAACTGGGGAGCCGCAACGCCAGAGAAAATGAGGCCAGGGAAACTAAGTCAGAGATTCCTGCCCTGGTGTCGGGACTGGAGAGTGTCATCAAGGACCCCTTTTCGAAATACCAAGACCTAAAAGGATCTGCAGACATGAAGATGCCAGTGTTTCACCACAGCCAGGGGCTTCCTTGCTCCAGTCGCATCGCTAGCTTTGCTTCGGCTGTGGGCCAGACATGTTCAAACATGGTCATGAACTTGAAAACGTCACTTGAAGTGCAGTCTAGTCATGCTAGAGAACATTTGCTAGACTTACACAGAGAACATCCTCTGATAGGAAAAGGTGCTGAAGTTCAAGAAGTAGCTCCACTCGATTTGAGTGAAAAATCAACAAGGGATAATTCATGCAATAAAAATCTGAATACATCCTTGCAGGCTGCTTTAATTGTCTACCCGTGTCCTTTCTGCAGTCACAAGACCTACTACCCTGAAGTCCTGTGGATGCACAAAAGAATTTTGCACAAAATCAGCTGTAACTCGATGGTCCCCCCTTGGGTTCAACAGAACGGATTCAGGAGTATTAAAAACAACCTGGTCTTTCTGGCAAGGAGTGGGCGTACTGGCCCCCCTCCTGTCCTCGGTGGCAAGGAGTGCCAGCCGCTGCCCATTGCCAGATTTACACGCACTCAAGTGCCAAGTGCATTACCAGGGTCCAAAAGCAGCTCTCTTTCCGTCGGGATGCTGGCAAAGTCTGGGAGTACACATCAGCCCAAGGACAGTCACGCCTTCGGCCACTGCGGTCCACGCTTATCGGGTCTGGATGGGTACAGGCCACCCAAGTTAAACCATTCCCAGGAGCAATACAGCATAGCAGCGCCACAAAAAAGTAAATACGAAGCAAATTCCAAACTTATGCAAATGGGAGCCTATAGCAGAAGCGTAACGCCTACTCAGACGGTCATATCCAGGCCTAGCACACAGCCCACCAACAGTAACCAAGTGGAGAAGTACGGGGTTCCCCAGGGGAGTACTGGTTTTTCCCCTTCAGGTAAGCACTGTGCGTCTGACCCCATGAAGGCCAAATTCAACCCACCGCTGCAGTATCACCCCCTGTGCAAGAGCGAGCAGTACCCTAAACACGACGAGCCATCGGTGCCTCAGAGGGAGTCTCAGGTGAAGGCTGGGAATGAGATGAGGACATTGGCAAACTGCACAGTGGTGGCCCGGGCGAGCCCACTGCTGCAGCCCCAGCACAGCGCTGCGGGAGTTTCTCCGGCTTTACACTCCACCAGACAGGATCTGGGACCAGACGGGCATGAGAAACATTTGGATGTTTTAAATATGTTCAAAACATACATTCCAAAGGACTTTGCTTCGTTGTACCAAACCTGCAGTGCCAACAGCCCTGTCCTGGAGCATGCAGGTAAGATATTCATAATCCCTCGCGTAGCTGAGGACGTGCCTTGCTTGTTCCTGCCTCATTCAGAGCCCTGACGCGCTCCTTCTCTGTGTCCTCCTTCTCTCCCTGTAACAGCTGGGATTGTAAATTCATTGTTTTTATCGTTTCTGGATAGGCTTGAATAGGTTTGTTTACTGATCTCTAACATCGCAGCATCCCCCCTTGTGCACTGTGTGACATTTCTGTCGAGGGTTAAATGTATCTGGTTCCACCTGGAGTGTTACTGTTCCTTTGTCCCCTCCTTCAAGCAGGCTAAAGTTACACAGAGGTGCTGTCACAGGAAGATCCCCCTCATATGCTGGTGCTGGCACACATCATCATCTCTTTGCTTCGGGCAAAATAAACATCCTCTGGGGCTTTTCTGTGATGTTATTTTGGAGGTTTTGTTCAATTTCATCTGCAAACAAGTCTTCCAACAACAGAGAGATAATCACTTGTCAGTGTCCTTTGTCTTTCTTGACAAAAGTTTTAAGATCTTCCATGTCCGTATCAAAGACTGTTATCGTATTTTTCAGATGATTCTTTTGATCTATTTGCATGCTCATAATTTTTTAAAAAGAGGTAGGGCCAAATATGCCTCTGCAAGTTCACATAAGCTGGAAAGGCAGTTGTGCAAATAGCTGGTTTAAAAGTTCAGGGATTGAGAAAGTATCAGAGCTGTTCTGTCTCTTGCCAGTCAACTGCCAGGTGAGAAGAAAAAAAAATAAATTAGGAACCTATGTATTTGCTCTTGAAATCCTGGTCTTCTGATGATCTGCCAGAATTAGTTTGTTTCAGCAGAAACTGAAATAACACTGATGATGACTCTTGAGTTGGATCTTTGTGTGTCTAGGGAGACAACAGATGCCAGTCCCACCTCTCACCGTTTGTAAACCATCCCCTTTTTTCATATGCTGCTTCTCTTTGTAGAAGTTGTGCAAGAACTGAATGCAGGGAAAGAACATGCATTCCAGATCATTGTTCTAGTGTCCTTACCTGACATAATGCTTTCTGTTTTGTCAAAAGCGTGTGTGACATGGAGCTGGTGACCCCATTTTGCAAGTGGGACAAAACCCAGGATGGTTGGTAGCTGGTAGTCTAAGGATAGCTATGATCTACTGCCCAGAAGGTGTGTGCAAGTTGACCACTCTGGCAACTGTGAGGCACAGAAAGAACCATAGTATTTGGTCAGGTCTTTGTGGAAGGCATTTTGGAGAAGCCAGGAAGGCAAAAACCTATCTGAAATAGTCCGTGAGGTGCACCTTTCAGCCACTCTGTTGTCAGTTTGGCTTGATCATTTAAAAAGTAATGCTGCTTAGGAGCTGACATACTTACTGAGTAGATAATTTTGCAGGTGGTTAGAAGCTGTGTGATGATTGTAACTAACATCAAGCTCCTTTTTTTTTTTTTTTTTTTTTTTAAGAAAGCAGATGAGGATGTGCTCAGTTTCTAAAGCTACAGTCGGTGTCCCTGGTTTTATTCAGCTGACTTTGTTTTTGCCATTGCAATGCCCAGGAATGTTGTCTAAAGTTTTTCCATGTCTGCCTCCTGCTCTAAATACCAGTTAATTGTTCCCCACCAACTTGGGGTACCTTCATATGGGTGCCCTGCTTGATATTATTTAATACTATGTTGTGTGAACCTGCTCAAAGAAACCTTGTTGATCCAGAGAGCTCCCAGAGGTTTTAAGGATGGAAAGAAACAGTAAAAGCGAGGAACTAGAAGCTGTCTTAGTGAATGCAGGCACCCAAGAAACCATGAGGACCACTGGGGCAAAGTAAAGTGGGGGAGGGTTTCCAAGGAGTTCTCTATGTGATTTTTTTTATTGCCAAAATGTTGTTCAGTGGTTTTTTTTCTTTTTTTTCTTCTGGGCGGTGATTTCTAGAGACACTTCAACTGGAAGTTATTTAGTGCCCATCTCTGAAGTCTCTTCTTTCATTCTAAGTGTTTTATAGCAGTCCACTTTTCAGAATCTGAAACTTCTTTTTTTATGTAGTTTGTCTTCGTTTTATATACAACTCCTAGGTTGTTGATGGTTCTCCAAACCAATTGGCATTGATGGCTGTTTTTCATAGCACTAAAATAAAAAGCTGCTGCAAGCAAAAGGAACAAGATCCTACCAACTGTGAACAGAGGAGGGTAAATGAACTTTGTCTGAAATAACACACAGCCCTCTGAGTCAGCAGGCATCATACAATTTAGTCTCAGTGTGGCAATGTGAATATGGCAGTCGTGACATAAAGGACAACCAAAAATCCCATTACTTGTCATGTTTCTTTTCCCAGTTGAATGTTCCAAATAGACTTTACTTTGGTGTTTGGTATGTGACTTCATCTTCACTGGAATACTTCAGTGTGTGGTAGTGCAGTGTTTAACTTCCTTTAGAGTGACTAGATTTATATCTGGGATCCTTTCTTTTACATTTGTGTTTATTCCAAGGTGTCCTTGGAAAAGAGAGTTGTTGTTTGTACTGTAGTGATCATTTGAGCTGCAAGCACAGAGTTTGCTGTGTCTAGGCTGGGTTTGTTTCACACTGCCCAATCGTCCCAAATGCTTGTACAGAGAATCTTATTGTTATATTTAATAGTGATCATGTGTTTGTTTTTTTTTTATTCATGATATTTACATGAATTACTGGATTAGGGAAGGATGGGTTACAGCAGCAGATGTGTTCTTGCCCTGGGACTTCTTTGAGCATTGCATTGCATGGCTTTGCGGGAGCTATCCCATTCAGATGGTCACATTCATTTGCTCACACCTGTAGCCATCCACATTCTTTTGTTCCCGTGTAGGACAACCTGAGTGATGACTCCCAGGGGCATTGCCTTGTGGTAGTGACACCCGTCACTCAAAGCTCTCAACTGTCAGAAGTCTTATGGTGCTTCTTAGGAAATGCCAAATATATATGTGGAAGCAATCAATTTTTTTTTTCCACCTGCTTTTTAAATAAGTACCATAAGTGAGTGCCAGGGGGGGGATGGATGAAAGTCCTAACCTGCTCACCTTTGGCATTTGTAGAGGGCACTCTGGCTTACAGCAGCATCCTCAGCTCTCCTTCGTGCTCGACTCAAGTGGGAGTGGCACTTCCATGAAGGCCGTTGCGTTGGGCCCATAATGGCTGCTGAAACAAGTGTACTCACCTTTCACAGGGGGAAACTCAGGGTACAGAGAGATTAAATGACTTTTCAGAGGTTGCAGAAAACCACCTGAGGAAGCCATGTCTCCTGGGAGCTGCTCTGCCTGTCCCTGCCTGTCTGGCAGCCAGCACAGTGGCCCGGCAAAGGCTGTGGCTGGTCCCTCAGCACACTTCATTGGCTTTGCTTTCAAGCTCACAGCTGTAGTTCTGGCCAGTGAGAGGAAAATGCCAGTATCAGACCAGAAAATCTGCTTTAATCCTGACTGCCTTACAAGGCAAATCCATCTCATTAAAGTACGGTGAATCTCTCATTGAAATGGATGTGTTTTTGGTTGTTTGTTTTTTTTTTTTTCCCTTTTCTTTTCTTCTGTGTGTGCATGTAAGTATATGTGATCTGGATTTGCCCCTAAATCATGTTCTTGTATTTTGACTGCTAGGACCTTAACTGCTGGGAGTGAGTTCAGGTACATTATACAGACTGTGCTGCCACCTGCAGGAGGTGCTGTTAGAGAAAACTAGCCAAGAGTGGGTTTTGGGTTTTTGCAGCCAGACATTTCTTCTCAATGTATGCTGTGATAAAAACCATTGCAAGACACTTGGTGCTGTACCAGCAGAGTAAATGCCAGCCCATCGTCTTTTCCACTCATTTTCAGGTACAGCATCTGTATTTGGGATGAGCCCTCTGGCATCCTGCAGTTGCTTTTTTGATTGTGGTTTTCTGATGTTGCTGTTGCCCATGTTTTGTTCATAATATTATTATTTTTAAATATTAACAGGGAGGGAAAAGAATGAAAGAAAAGCTGAAACTTCACTTCCACTGACAAACCCCTGAGAATTTCTTTAAAAGCCAAAGTATTCCAGTGGCAAATGGAAACATCAACTCTCCTTCTGAGGAGGGCATTTTACCAAAATAGAAAAGATGATGTTCAAACATTTGGGTTTTTTTTAAAAATAATAAAAAAGCCCAATAAAAGTCAAATGTGTCTTTTTTGATCAGTGGCAAAAAGACAAAGACCAGCCCTTTAAGTCAGATGCTGTAAACTGACCTTTGGAGAAAAAGGAGAGGTTTGAGTGGTTTTCCACAAATGCTAATGGCCTAGAAAACATGTTTACCCAGGGCTGGGGGACGGCTGCTGCGCTGCTACCAGCTCAAAATGTCCGGAATGACACTTTCATTCACAGATGTCTTTCGTCTGTGCCTCAGAGGTCCAGGGTCAAAGCAGCACCGGCAGGCAGGTAGGCAGGGGCGAAAGGTTTGATCAGCCTGTGATGGCTCCGCTCGCTCTGCATTTGTCTCTGAGGTATTGCTGCCCGGGGGGGACAGTCGGGCTCTGGTCCTACTCACTTCCTATTATCCATGTGACTTGTCTCCGCCACGCTGGAGTCACTTTGATTTGCCTGATGTACTGCTTGACAAAGCTGGGTGATGGCTGAGAAGTGGATCCAGCTGCTCTGAAAAGCGCACACCTGACATGCCAGTCCTGGTGCGGGCACATCATGGGGAGCATTTTTTAATTCAATGTAATTTATGCATTCTTGCAGTCCTGTGTGTGCCTGGCCTGTCAGCCAGTGCCTAGATGAAGGCTGACAGTTGTCATCCAGGGCCTGAAGGTAGCCTCACATAATGACACATTAGACATACTAATGATGTTTTCTTCTGGCATAATGTTTTCTTCTCAACTTTCCTCTCTCCTCTCTCTCCCACCCCCTCCTTCCTCCCTCCCTCCCGACTACAGGGATGCTCAGGACACAAACACGCCAAGGAGACTGCGTCTGCAGAGAATGTGGAAAATGCTTTACCCAGCCCAGCCACCTCAGGACTCACCAGAGGTCCCACGCAGGTACCTTTCCGTACTCGCTCTCGCTTCCTCCCTTCCCCACTTGCCTGCTTTCAGAGCCAGCTAACAAAATGCCAAGAATTACATTTCACATACCATGTTAAGCTGAGTAATTCCGGGACCTAAATCTAATAGACAGGTTTTTTATTTTTACGACTATTGCTCTTGTTCTCCGGATATTGCTTACCTGATCCCCGCCCGAACCCCATAAAATTGCAATGCATTTAAGATAAGTCTGTTTGCAAATGTTTTATTTTAATTAGAGTGTAGGGTACTCAGAAATGAATATGCTAATGAATTCTGTTGCCACCAGCACAAATTGAAATCAAAGCACCCCTTTCAGCACAACATAAGGCTTTGTTTTGCCTCGTCGTTACTGTTGACAGGAACATTTTTGTGGGAAACGAGATTTTTCCGCAGACCCGGTCAGCCCTAAACGGGGAAATCCCCACCAGCCATTTTTAACCTGGCACACTCTGTGGTCGAGGCTGTCGGAGGCGAGAGCCACCGGTGTCGAGAGACCTCCTGAGCTTTGCAGGAGACAGTGAGGCTAGCGGGTTCCTCCTGAAAAGTGTGAATGATGCATACATAAGCCAGTCTGATGCAAAATGACAGAGGCCAAATGGTAAGTAATGCAAGAAGAGGGTCTCTTTACACATACACTGATAATTAATGTTGTCAGTGATTGCTTTCTTCTGCGCTGAAGTCTGAATTAAAAAGGGCAGTGGCCCTAGGCTGCCATTAGCACACTCTCTTACAGTAAGTGTTACGGTAAATTGGTATTTTCCGGCCACAGGGTAGTAGCTGGTGTCTTTTTTTGAACATGGTTAATCTGTAATGGTCTCAAATAATGTACACACACTAACGAAGCTTGAATGTTCATCTGTTAACAAGCCCCCTTGTTCCCACAGTGGTATTTGAGTCTAATGGACTCCGAGGTACTGAAGTTCACACCACCTCTGCAGATGCCCCAAAACAAGTATGTTTTACAATTAATTGGATGTTTGGTTTTTAATGTGGTAGCTGGGAAAAAGTTGCACAGTGATGCTCATCACTAAAGCGCTGAGTGTTTTATAACATGTATAAATAATAACGGTGTTGCTTCATTTTTAGCTCTTAAATTTTTTAAGCGTTTTATCGAAATCTGTTATATAAAGAGTCAGTTAATTGTAAAGCAGGTAGTGTTTAAATAAACATGTTATCAGCTTACTGGGGGCTGGGTGGGATAGGTAACTCTGTAATGCACAGTGAGATAGTACAGGAGGAATTCCTAGAAATAATTTGCTTTTACAACTAACACATTTTCTGCTTCAACAAGACAATTAACGCTTAGTCTTTATTTTTCTGAGAAGTATTCACACCCTGATATCCAGTGTCTGGCCTTTGAAAGGCTCTCATCCTCCAGATTCTGTGGACTCTGTGCGGTGGTGTGCTTTCCTGTTTCTAGTATAGAGTTTCCTGCCTTAAAGTTAAAAGACTTCTTAACACTCTGAATTATACATTACAAATCTGTCACATTAAAAAAAAAAATAAAATAAACGGAATTTCTCTTGTGCATCTGACATCTTTGGAGACCAGTGGCATAACGTAGACCTCCTCACTCCATCTTCCAGCTTGGCAGGTGGTTTTCAGGGCACACCTTCTCATTGGCAGTTTTATTTCATTGTGAAATGCAAGATGCCTCCAGCATCACTCACTTTTCCTTTCATCCATGTTTTTTGTTTGATTTTGACTACAGCACTTTTACTAAATGATCACAGGCAGTTTGGACCATGCCTAGAGAATGTGTCTCCATGCTAGTCCTGCTTTTGTGAAGCTGAGGAGTTGGTTTCTGTTTGCTCTGTAAACATGCTCATCAAGCACCACCACATCACATAGTTCATATGCTGTGCCCTTCATGGCAATTCCAAGCACCTTCTCTGTTGCACTTGCATCTTTCTGGCCTAAAGGCTGTGTGGGGAACCCGGCTGTTGCCACAGGAGTACCTGAGTTGCTGTCAGGCCATAGAAGTGGCCAACATATCTACTCAGAATTTTCAAGATGTCATAGCACTTCAGTAGTTCTTGTGGGCAGTGTTTGCTTTGCTTCTGTGGGACAGTAGCAGCAAAGTTATGCTGTTGTTGAGGAACTAGATGAAAGTGCTCTCCTTACAATGCTTACCTAATAAAATTTTGCACAGACATCTCTCTCAGTAGAAGTATGTGGCAGTAAAACACTGAAACTATGCCAACTAGCTCAACTAGTCTTTAGTTCTTGCTGGTTTAGTAGTGTAGGTTTAATAAATCTAAGCATCCTTAAAATCCTCTTTTCATCCTTTCATGCTCTTGGTTTTCTTTCGTGTGTAGTTGAGAATGGATTCTGAAGGCTTCTGGGCTTTTTTCCTCTAAAAGACAGTGTAAGGTCAAAGTTGGAAATACATTTCCAAAAAATTCTGGAGTGCCCATATCTATCCAAAAAGAGATGTAGCAGCTCAGCCCACATCTGGACTCTTTGTAATTCAGGTTATATTGCCCCACAATTAATTTACTCATAATCTTGTCTTTGTAAACTGCTGCCATGACAGAATTTATTGACTAACTTGTTCCACAGCAAATGTGTCTTGTTCTTGCAGTCTTAGTCCTTGTCTGTCTTCAAAGCATTGGATTAAATTGCAGCACCTGTCAATACAGCAGAATTTTGGGTAGGAGTTAGCTTCATGAATCGCTCCATCACTTGCCAGTCAGTGTTTCCTCCACGGCAGCTGCGGTATGATCCCTTCTCCAGGAGATAGTTCCCTTTCTTTTGTCTTGTTTGCTTCTCAGTATCAGCCTTTGCCTGGGTTTGTCAGCATCCGTGTCAGTTAGGATTATTCAGTTGTCTGCCGCTGTGCTTGTTCTCCTCGCGCGCGGCCTTTGTGCCCCCCCCGAAGCCCCCACCCGCCCGCTCCCTGGGCGTGGGAGGGGGAAGGTGCTCCTTTCTACCTGCAGCTCCAGGGCCCTTCACAAGTGCAGGAACGAGCTCACACTGAGAACGGTGCCTGCAGCATTCTGGTAACGTTATGATTTCCCACTTTAAATATTGTCACTCCGTGTCTTCATTTCATTTCTTAATTGGGGACAGATCTATTCATGAGAGTTTAGGGTGTAAAGTCAGTTCAAGTTACAGAAGTGCCATGCACATGCTCCAAGCAAGAAACAATAGTTGCTACGGATGGGAGCTTGAGAATCAAAGGGGTTTTTTAATGTTAAGTGAGAATGATTCACTTTACATAATGTTTCCTCCTCACAGGTAAAATATCTTCCCCTGAGTAGTATGCTAAAGAGTAAAAATATTAACATTAGTATTTCACAGTTCCCCCATTCCCTTCAGTAGTCAACCCGAAGATCATCTCTAAAGGTTTCCTTTATGAAAGAATGTTAGGTAGGGCTTTTAAAATCCCCCAGCATAGTATCTTACAACAGAGCTTCATTATGTAGCAGTTTTCTCACAGAATAGTTCTAACTGCACATGTTAAAAACGGGGTCTAGGGCCAGGCATTTTCAAAAGTGAGCCAGGTAAATCTATATTTAGGTATCTAAACACTAAGCTCCTTTAGGTAGTGAACCACCAACAGGAGATGCAGGTGTTTAACGTCACTGAAAAGTAGGCCACCTATAGGGGTGTGTAAAGAAGATCATGCACATCCAGTTTTGGTAATATGAGCACTGGGCTGTGTTTTGTGCTTTGTTATCAGCAACAATGAAATATAGACAAAGTGAAGGCAATAGGATGTTAATTTATTTCATAACATTATTTACTGTAGTTTCTTACTTCTACATGTTGGAGTTTTTTTTTTTTAAAAGAGATTTTACATCAAATGAATTTCATGTGAACTCTGGAATATTTCCTACTCTTCTTTGTCTAAAGGACAAAAAATGCTCATTACATACCCCAAGTCAATACAATCTGTGCAAAGTCATGTAGATTTTCTTGAAACGCTGCCATATTAAACATACTGAATATTCTGAATATTTTTATAAATGCTAAATATCCCAATATATCCATAATTAAGCTTGCTTATCCACAATGAATATGTATCTTAATTTGGAATACGCTAAGCAGCATCCGAAGACCTGATTTAGTAGGCATGAATTCAGGGAGCTCTCTCCAATTGCCTATAGATGGCAGGACAAAAGCTGGATCTCCTTCAGAAGGGTCCCTGCAACGACACGTCTCTCAGAGCCACTGCAGTTCTCAAAGCAGAGCTCTCCTAAAGCGTGGGCTCATTTCAGAGCCCCTGCCTGATGCTGCAGCATTGCAGCCCAACTCCCAAGTGCATTCAGTGGCACAGGAGTCAGTCTCTAGCTTGCTTTTGTGAAATGGTGACAGCAGTGGTAGCAATTTCTGATACATAAGCCTTGTGTTTAACTTCTGCTGCTGTGTTTTTAAAAATATACAGAAATTTGGCCTGCTTTAGGAATATAGTTTGTACTCTATCAGTGCTGTGTCAAACAATATGCTCTAAAAATTTTAAGGGGCAAGTAATTGTATGTTCAAAAGGCATGATTTGCTGGTTAGCAATGAGGAAGAGTTCTGTGTAATTGAGAGTATATATACATGAAGCATATTTGTGGTGCTGGAGCCAGAGACACTTAAGTTCTCTGCCTTTTGTGCAAGTGAAACAAGAAAAAGTCCCAAAACTCCAGCCTTTGCCCTCTCCAGGAAAGCAGCCTTTTACTCAAAGAAAAGTGCATAAAAGCTACAGCCCAGAAAAAAAAAAAAAAAAAAAAAAAAGTGTTGGTATCATGGATATCTCTGGCTGGAGCTTTCCCCCTGCCAGAATGGTGGTCCCTTTCTGTGCAAGCACTCTGGACACCACAGCTCTTGGGCCTCATTCTCTGAAAAGAGAGGGGTGCAGTAGGTCCTGTGTGACAGGGTTAAGACACCTTCATCAAAGGTTTCCATAAGCCTTAATTTTCTTCACTATATGTGTTTAAAAATATTTCTTGCAATGTGCAATACTTCAGACAGCATAAATGTCAATAGTCAGATCTTGGGGGATAGGAAGATTGGAAAGAACCATCAAGAAAACATTAAAAAAAACACCCATGTATGTATATACACAGACAGACATACATTGTTAAGGACCTTGGGGGAAAGGCTGGTGGCATCTGTTACCTGTGATGTTTTTACAGTCCAGCAACACTACAGCCCTGCTTGAAAAAAAAAAAAAAATCAGGTTAAAAAGTTATTTAAACCTTTGGTTTATGAGTTTGGTTGGGTTGGGTCTTATGCATTTGAAATTTTAACACTGTTAGTTAGAAATCCTATTTATGACATTTGTTCATGGGAAATGTCTTGCCCCAGTTCCTTGCAGAGTTTCTTCTAAAGATCATGATTAATAGTTCAGTCCTCATTATTGCAAATGTTATTTTTAAATAGTTATTCTGAGAACAAGAATTCCATTAATCAAAATAATAGATAATGAACAAATAAATGGCAACCTAATTTGTCTCGTTCATACATATGGAGATTATAATGCAAACAATCAAGGAATCATGGAGGCTGCTGTACCAGCCTCTGAGTAATATGCATGTGCTCTATGTCCATTAGTTTATGAGAATTATGGACAGGATTAGCAGCTGTAGTTCTTGTCCTAACACTCTCCCCTTGCCAGCAAACTGGAGCAGTATGTGTGCTCCAAAGCAATCGTTGCCATTTATTTTGATGTCAAGTAATAATCTGTCTTCAATATATTAATGTGCACGCAAACTGATTTTTTCCTGCTAACTGGTGAGAAGCCTTAGAAGTAGGTATGAAAGCAGCTTTTGGCATGGAAGCTATAGGTTTCCCTTAAACATGATCTGCTGCTGAAAATGAAGGTAGGCTACTCTGGGAAATGGTAAATGTTTCACTTCAGGAAGAACTCAATCCAGCTACACATCAGCTAGCTCAAAATCCCGCTGCCCCTTTGGGCCGGTGGGAGCACAAGGGGGTGAGCCATTGGTGGGTTTGGGCGCAGGTGACGCTCAGGTAGCTGTTTTCTGGTGACACTGGGAGCACAGCCATGTGTCAGAGAGGTCCAGCCACCCACCCACTGCCCGGCCTCTCTGTGACTCCATGCCAGGCTGGAGGAAGATGGATGAGCTTTTCCATGGGTGCCCAGTGCTGTGTAGTCCACGATGCCCACACCCTCAGGGCACGCCTCCACCACCCAGCACCCCACAGGCTATCCATCCCCAAGCAGCACCCCGAATTACACCCTTTTTTCAGTTCTTACCCAGGAAAACTGGGACAAGGCGGCTGCCATCCCCTCCCTTCTCTCCTCCCCTCTTCCCCTGGCTGGGTGAAACCCTGCTGCGCTCCCCCGTGGACGCAGAGCCGGCTGGATGCGAGACGTTCCAGTGATGAATGTCTCCTCCTGGAATTGTGGCTCTGTCTCGGGCATGATGCAGCCCTGCAAAAATGTAAAGCATCTTTCTTGGTTTACTGCAGGAAATTCAGCATCCAACTAAGGAAGTTTTATCACATCTCTCATTCAGTTACTGTTTCCTACATTTCAAATATACTGCGATCTGTACAGCAGCTTTTTTTTTCTTTAATTTTGTTGCAAATCTTTCCGACTTAAACCAAACTTTGACTGGTAAATGTCATGAATCTCGGGCCAGGTTTAATTAGGAATTTTCTAAATCTATTAACAAAAGAGATGCACTTAATACATTATGTCAACCAGAGCTGGGCTTTCTTTAGCTATTTCGAGGGCTGCCATAGGCACAGCTTGAAACTTGCTTGGATTTTACATGGGTACCGTATTTTATGTTGCATTAATTTAAAATGGTCTGTTTCACTTCATCAAGACTTTAGCTTAAGGATAATGCATTTATGTAAGATTAATCTTGCCATGTTGTTTTAGGATCAGGATTGTAAACTGCATTGTTCCGACAGTGATGTTCTAAATGTCATTTTAAAGCTTTTCTTGGGAGCTGCAGGCTCCCACTTATTCATGATGTTATCTTTAATTTCACTTGATTTTAGAATATCCCTGCTATTTTTCTCAACATGGCAATTATTCATGAAAATGGACTAAAAAAATTAACAAGGGAGATGACAAGGGGAGGAGGGGGAAATCTGCCTTCGCATTTGACAGACCTGTACAAGAATTTATTTTTTCTTCTTTTAGCTGCCTCTGTGACCTCAGACTTCAGCCTTTTTAAAATGCTGATCTAGTTACGAATCCCTTTGGCTAGCACAAAATCCCACCCTTTTGGAGGCCTCTTCTTCCCTTCCTTGTTCTCAGTCTTTTCTGCAGTGCTCCATCAGATGCTTTTACTTGCGCTTCTAGTCCATCAGGGACTTTATATGGGCCTGACACCCTTCGCTTGTGCTGGAGGTGCTTAAAAAAAACCCAAAAAACTTCTGCTGTGGTGGGCCAAACTGGGTGTCCGTGACGCTACTCAAGGGTCACGAAGGCTTGCAGGAGGGTTGTGCGTGGGAGCGGAGAGGTGAGAATGAGCTTTTCCCTGTCTCGTCCTTGCAGGGGAGAGACCGCGGCGGCGCGGAGGTCGCCCACACGCTGCCTCTGCGGAAGGGCACCTAGAACCCGTCGGAGGAACCCCCCAGGCCCGGCAGAGCCACCCCCCTGCCACCCATCGCCTCGCCCGGAGCCGCTGCGCGAGGCCGACACCGGGAGGGGGTGCCTCGGCGCTCTTAGTCTTTTCAGAATAAATGAAGATGCTACACAAGATATATATAAATTGACGTACTAATCAGTCCCATGGTTCCTTATTTCCTTTATAATAAACAGCGGAGTTGGCAAGCGCTGTGGCAGCACAAGGCATCTATATTAATCAAGAGAAGTTTGAGACACTGGAAAAATTAAACTTTATGTGATTTGGACAGCATGAAGAAGTTAAGCACTGTAACAAAAACCTCCCTGATGCTCACAATGACTATTTGATACGTTTGAAAAACAGCAGTGGATTCGAGGGCTGGAGAAGTATTAATTAATGAAACTGCCACTGCTTGTCATGCTGAAAAGCAAATTAAAAAAAAAAAAAGCCAAGAAGAATGGGGGGTGCAGGGAAAAGGTGGCATTTGGTACTGAGAAACCAATGCTTGATGAAGGATTAAAGGGACTAAAGAGAAAGACCGTCATTCTGCAATGGTTTGTTTCATTACAGTTTGGGGACCACTTGCATTTCTAGTGCTCTTGCTCTTGACTGCGCACCATTAATAGTATGTGAATATGGAAATTGAAACACTTCCAGAGAAAAGCTTCTATTCTGCTTTGGAAAAGAAAGGCTGGTCGAACACTAAGAAAAAAAAAAAACAAACCAGGCTTCTGTGTTTTACTCTCAGGACCTTTTTCTGTTAACAGGGCTACTTTCTTCAACCTGATCACAAAGGAAGTCTTCACGTTTTAAAAAAAAAAAAAAAATGGAAATAATAAAATGCTGAGCTGTCTAATGCCCCTGGTCTGTATGGCTAGAAGAGAAAAGATGTCACTGAACGAGTTCAGGCAGCCCATAAGGTACTCTCTGCTCCTGCATTTGGTTCAGC